GGGTGTGGCCAACTTTACATAACTCGTGTGGGAGGTGCCTGTATGGGGCAGGCGGGGTTGAGGATGGAATCTTGGAGTTTCCGGTGGGTGGGAAGAAAGAAAGATCCAATCTGTGTGTGTGTGTGTGTGTGTGTGTGTGTGTGTGTGTGTGAGAGAGAGAGAGAGAGAGAGAGAGAGAGATGGCTTTTGTGTTGTTAGCTTTTTAAAAAGCCCAGAGGAGGGAAAAAGATAAAGTTGAGCCAAAGAAATCCCAGGGTGGGGGCAAGGAAAGAAAAGAAATCCCTGCTCTGAAAAGCGAGTATCCTCCCAAGAAAGCAAACAAGCCCTTTGTGTGCAGGAGGCAGGGCGTGCTGATGTGCCAGGGAAACTGCACACCTTTTCCTTTGCAAGCAAGTTATTTAGCACCCTAAATAACTGCGAGAACCAGGCTCACCAAGTAGCACCAAAGCGCCCTGCACAGCTTCTCTAAAGATTGCTTATGAGTTAGCCTGAAAGGCCTTTTCTTAGAGAGGATCTCATGCAGATCCGCTCACCGAGGGATCTGGTTAAGTCACTAGATCAGGGTTGAGTTGGAGGCACGGTGGAAACATGTGGGAACAAGCGGGGTGGTAAGGGGAAGTGTCCCTTTAGAAAGGCAGGAACTGGCGCAGCCCACCAACCCAAGGCGAAGGGTGAGTGGGTGGCATGTGGGCGGAAGGATGGCAAGAGCCAGGCCCAAAAGACGGCTGAGCCTTGCCATGTCCACCCTGAGGCGGCCTTTTGGCCGAGCATCATACCTTTGCGAGCAGCCACAGTGAGCAGAGTGGGTGAGGCACGGAGATCAGCTGGGCCGCGTGGCCAGCATGGTAGGCTGCGGTGAAGGCAAGGAAGTGGGCGAGGCACGGAGATCAGCTGGGCCGTGTGGTCTGAGAAAATGAAGGAGCCAGAGAGTAGTTGGGCATCGGTGTGATTATAGCCACAGGCCAAGGCGGGTGAAGCAAGGTAAGGAGGGGCAGGGTGGGGTCAGCCAGTGGTGTGATCAGCCTGTTCTTTGAAGTGCGCAAAATCTTAACAACTGGTTCACCCAAACCAATCCAAACCGGCTGAATCTCACCTCTGCTTGGACTTTGGGGCAAGGTACTATCTAGCATTTTGTGCTATGTGCTTTGGAGGTACCTAACATACTTCCAAGAAAGAGAAAGAAACAAACGCAAATGATGCATGAACAAATACAATCAGTTCCTTTTGTACATTCCTGGCTGTTATTTTGGGAAGTTTATGATTGGAACATAGTCGAGTAAAGCAATCTTGCCAAGAAAGGCAGTCTTCATGCTAATGTTTGCCAGTTTCTTTGTGGTCCCTTCTCAAAGATCTCAGTTTTGATAAATGAATCTTGTTTACCAATCACTTTCTTCCAGAAAAGTATTATCTAATGTTGATAATTTTTCACATTTTAAAAAAGAATTATTATTTGGTAAATCTCAACACATCCCACTTTACATATTCTGCATTTACAATACACTTCTTTCTTAACCCTTCCATTTTTGTCCCCAACCAGTTGGTTTGCTGCTATGGTAATGGAATTGGACTCCTCGCTTATGCAAACTCACACAACTTAAAATTCAGTCAGGTATGCCAAACTTTTGTGTTTCTTCCTCTGAAGATCACTATCATTTGTAGAGTTGTCATAGCTATGCAGACTTCTAGTAAATTGTTCAGATCATTCCAGAGCTTCAGCTCTGTTTCTCCTTTGTATAGCAATGATCAGGTAACAATTTCATAAGGAAAAAAACTTGAATACATACCTTATTAAAAATATACAACACACACACAAACACACAAACACACACAAACTGTGATCCATTCCTTTTCTATGGGGCTAGTTGTGGAGCTGGTTTAATGTTATATCTTACCTCCTTCCATAATAGTTAATCATCAAACTAAAAGTAGAAACAACCATTAACTTTAATTCAAAACACTGAAATCCACAGAAGAAAAAAAAAATGTAAAGGAAAATGAGCCAACAGCATGTTAAAAATATTTATTATATGGGAAGAATGGATTATTTTGCATATAACCAAGAAACAACAACAACAACAAAAGGTAAAAGCTATCTAATTTATGCCCATAGTAATCCTTGTTCTTAGTACTTAGTGTATTGTAATGAGGCCAAAACATAACTGAGGGCAGCATAAAATCAAGTGAACTCCATTAAGTATTTAACAGATATTTGCATTCCAAACCAGCTCTCTTAATTACAAATTAAATTCTAAAGCAATACCTCTAATAACCTAACTTGCTAAACTGTAACAGCTTACATATTGAAAGAACCCCTTGAGGGTGAATTCTGATACTGCCAGATTGCCAGTGACAGGCATAAACCATTGATCTTGTAAACAATGAAAGCTATCATTCAGCCAGCACCCAAATTATCAGTGGCAAAGCTGTTTAAATTCCGAACTCTGACTTCTTCTGTGAATGGCCAGCTTGTCTACTGGGCATGTATAATTTGCTTCCTGCCTTCAGCACTAAAATTACAAGTAGTGCAAAGAAGCTCATTTTAAAATACAAGCTCCCCTGTAAAATCCTCCTCCCCTGTATTCTGCTATTCTATTTTCTGAGTACAAAGTTGACTGCATTATCATCCATACTTCAACTTGAATACGGCAAGAGAAGATTATAGGCTGCACTACTAAATAATGTAATTTCTTCTTTTGGTCTTTACTCACATTTTGCAAAATGTCTGGGGTTAAGGGAAGAATACAGGAAAGATGGCAGCATTAATAATTTCTTTGTAGAAAATGACTATAATAAAACGATGGAAGTACATTACGTACATAACCATTTTGCACAGACATTAAATACTCTTGCCTAAAGACCCCAAATGATTGGTATTTCAAATGGGACCCCCATTTTCTCATTATTTCCCGTATGTCATATCTGACATTTTTGAGGATCAAAGCAAGTTTTGCTCTAATAAAACTGTGTCTGAAATCACAAAGGCTATCTAGTTATTGTTCCTAAGCAGATTGGATCACCAGGCAATATCAAAGCTATAGGCTAATTATAAAGTTTTTTAAAAAATAAATCTTGAAATAAGGCTTTGACATACAATAGTTGTAAAGAAATCTACATGGATGTGTCAATCTAGTCATAAAAGCAATCCTTATTAGAAGACAATAAAGGTCTTTTACCTTTGTGGAAGAGGAACCCATTGATTTTCACTGTTCTCAAATACATCATAATTGGTGTGCATGCTAATAACTAAATTCTGGTTAACAAAATGTAATTGCTTTGCTTACATAACATACTACACCCAATAAATAAATATTAATATGGCTCACAGTGATGGCCACGGAAAGAAAATAGCTACTGACCTTAACATGCTAAACCCCAAACTACTGACTCTCATGTTTGTCTAGCTAGCTACACATCCTATTTGTCTCAAAGTCAAATTAAATGTGCACCTGCTAGACACATAAACAGACAGCTCTTTTACTGTCTTTGTGGCCTACCACCAACCTCACTCCCACTGAGATTGTGGACCTACTTGCATCCATGTTCAGATTGGGAAAACGTGTCTATACAAAACAAAATAAAAAGTACAGGATCTTGAAGATTGTCCCTCAGATAATCAACACTTCTAATTTAATGACACTGAATACTAGAAAATGGAAGGTGTATACAACAGAAACAAGCTTTGAAAAAAGAAACTATAGCTGACTCAAATGACGAATAGGCCAGGTTTTGCTAAATTAGCCTTCTCCAACTTTCCAACCTGTGTTGATTTATACCTCCCATCATGGATCTTGTTGGGTAGGAATGTCTTAGTGTAAAAAGGTCTTTAATCAAATACCTGACAGGCTGATATACATCTGGGAAACCTAAAAGTAAGTGTTTCTTATTTTTAGTGACTTTAAGATGGGTGGATTTCAACTCCCAAAATTACATTACAATTAAATGGGGAATTCTGAGAGTTGAAGTCTGCCCATCTTAAAGTTGCTAGGATTGAAAAACACTGCTATAAGCAGTAGTTCATAAAATAATCTTTGGCCTTTAGATTTCCTCATAAGATAACTTAAGCATACCGAGCAATAGTTTTAACCAGTCATGACCACTCAATACATAAAGAAGCTAGCAGACCAATATTATTCCTCTTATGCTACTTTAGCACATTTTTCTCTTGCTATTAATGGTTCTTGACTTTTGTTGCTTTTGATGAGCACCAATTTAGATGCATCACATAGTATAGTCTCCTTACCGATACATTAAATAAATCACTACTACATGAACAACAAGAAAGAAACTAAGTATAAATATGCCTAAATTTAAATCTGCAGAACTACTTTGTTGAGGGACTTGAATGGCCAATTTGGTTCCACTAGATATGAAAACTGCTATTATATTTCATAGGTGCCTGGAAGGAGAAAAGATTCTGCATATAGCTTTATTATTGAAGAAAATTACCTGAAATTTCATACACTTACACAATAATTGCATTTTAAAATGTCTCCCTATTGTATTGTTTACAATATATAAATATATATAGGACATAAAACTTGAAAAACATCTATTTCTTTATCACTTCACCACTGCACATTATGTGCCAAACAAAATTTTAGACTATTTAGACTATTTTCCTCTATATTCCTATTCTTGGAGAAAAGTTCATTTTAATTCAGAATTTTTAATGCAAAAAGTTCTGAGTTAAACCCTCAGTATTAATTAAATAATATTTAATTAATTTAGAAAATTAATTATTTAGAAAAGCCCACCTCACAATCTGGAGAACTTTTGTCTCAATAAATAGTGAAAGACCGGGGGACGGGGGAGTTCTTTGTCACAGGGAACCCAATGTCTTGGGCTGGCCAAGCATTAACCTGTGGTAGTTATTTTCCAGGCCCCACTAAGGGTATTTGGACTAATTATAACCTTCTGTTTGAGAGAAATCCCTTCCCACCCTTCCAAATTGCATACATTTGTGGAAATCAAAGCCACCCCCAAGTTTAAGGCCAGCTTACATTTTCACTGTTGACATCAGCTTCACTGGGACATCCAAAAAGCTCTCGCCTCAGCAAGTTCCCATCATATTCTAGGAATGTCAGATAGAGGTTGCGGAAAAACTCCACATGCTTGTTCTTTACTCTCAACTTTTTGGGTGAGTTCCAATGTATCACCTGGTAGAGAAAACAATGCAGGCATCAAAACGCAGCTTCATTGGTTTATCTTCTAAATATGCTTTTTTTTTTCTTTTTGCATTTGACAACATTTCTTCCTCCTTAGTACAAAAATCATAAGAGCATGCTAGTGGGAAAGATATCTTTCCCACTAAGGAACTTCTACATTTACCTCTTCTTAAAGGAAACTAAAGGAAAAGAAGGAAAATTAATAATAGAAAATCCTACCTATTGAATTCTATCTGTATGATGGGCTCTGCATTTTGGGCAAAGAGATATTTGAAACATGCTGTCTTTTGACTGAACTAAGCATCTTATTAATTACCACTTTTTACATTCTTGTTTCTTTGCAAAGATTAGTTAAGTTAAACTGTCCCTTTATCATTTCTCTACCCTCCAATCCAAATCAACAATTCTACTTTGGCAATATAAAGGAAGATGATAAAAGAGTGAGAATTAAAGGCCCTCAGGAAAAAGCATCAAGGACAGTAAAAAAAAATGACAAATTAGGAAAAAAAAGATTTTTATGGAGGTTATATTTTAGCTATAAAAAGGATTCATTGTTCCAAGCATTAATTTTATGCATTTGAAAAAGATCCAAACAATGTATACGGAGAAGAAAGAGAGTTTTATTGGAAACTCATCCAAAGTTCAGCTCTTAAGAGTTTGCATGTCCATTAAAAAAATTAGATAGAGGTAAGACAGTACTTTAAGTTGCAAATATATTTTGCTGCTACTGATTGCCAAGTGCTGAATAAGCAACAGTTGCATTACAGCTTTGCAAACTGTATCTTCTTGACATTTCCTATTTCTAGTAAGAAAACATCTTCTTTACGTAATGATACTAAAATAGTTTGGTGTTTCACAGGATCACTTACTGGCTACTGAGGAAATAGCCAATAAAAATGAGTTATGTGAAACAAAGAGAACATAAACTATAATAAACAAGCTTAATTCAGAAATGGACAAAAATATCTCGTAAAAACCTCACAGAAGAAAAAAGTTATCTCAACTATCCAGGAAAAGATTTTGACTAGAAAACTAGGACAGTTCTACCAAGCTATGCCTTTTGTTTTATAGTATGTAATTTGATATTTGAATCCATATGCACACAATGCAGTGAGATGTTCATATAATAAAGTGAAGTAACATTATTTATTGACAATTTAACACCCTCTAAAGAAACATCCCTTTTGAGACCACTACATAAAATCCAAGGAGCAGGGAACAATAAAGCATTAGTAATAAGAACATGCCTTCCTCTGTAGAAACAGAAAAATAAGTTAATGCATGTCATAAAAGAAAGAGCACTTAAGCGCCAGTTAAATATTTTTAAAAGAAGGTAAATGCTTTTTCTTAAGTGCAGAAATTGAAATTATTGGTCAAATTTTTAAAGGAAGGATACAATGAAGAAAATAGGAAAAATATCAACACAATCCTCAAATTTGAGAACAATTTCCTTTTGAAGTTACTATATATGATTATATGCCATCAATTCATTTTTGATTCCTAATTTTATATGATCTTTCCACAAATTCTCACCCTAGAATTTTGAACTGTGATATTTGCTAAATTGAAATTATTTTTAAAAAATCCTATTGAACAACTTATTGTTGCTTTGTTAACTGAAGTAGAGGTTCACACCTTTTATAGATTGCTCGAAAAAGAAAAGGGACAATGTAGAATAAAAATTAAGCTTGATCTGATTTTATTTCAGTTTGCATTTAATGTAAATTAAATGTGGTGAATATATTATTTTCCATTTTAGTAGGTATTTGATCATTCCCCCTTTTGTTATAATAGAAATGAAAAGAACCAAGCTTTGAAGCCTCTGCGGACCACATCTCAGGGACCTTTACACACCTTTACACTACATTTTCATTTTACAAAAAGAAATCTGGGCAGTTTATCAGGGCCTATTTATGCATTACCAATGAATAAAATTACCAAAAGGAAAAAGGAAAAAAGAGGAAACTGAGTCATTTAAAAAGGGCATAGAATTGAATGGAATGTATAGGTGTTAATTCATATGCACAGATACCAATTTAGAAATAATTACCTTAATTTGAAGAGTAATACAATTGTTATACCAGTTGAGACCCAGGGGACTGCTCTCCAAATGGTAATTATTTATAAGCAGGTTCAAAGCCATGCAATTCCTTCTTCCAGTTCTTCATTTTAAAGTGTATATCAAATGAACAGCCTTTCAAATGAAAATAGTATTTTGAAATAGGCTACATGTCATACTATTATTTGTTCAGGACTTTGGATGAAGTTGTTTTAAGGTGATTTTAGGATTTAGGATTTAAAATACCAGGCACCAAGAGAAGATGGGAGAAGTTATTAGTGAAATCAAGACTTGCAAGAAGATGAATTTATCTAGATTAGTGCTTGTCAAATTTGGCAATGTCTGAACTTCCCCTTCCAGAATTTCCCAGCCGACATGCTATGAGTTGAAGTCCACATATTTTAAATTTGCCAAGCTTGAGAAACACTGATGTAGCTCTCCCATTTTTATCTTTCTGCATCTGCAGTACATATTTAGTCCTTGAAACTGCTGTCGCAGAAGTGCATGAAACCTAGAGGACTGCACAAATCCTTGGGGATTGATATGACCTCAGTGAGAATAAGTCTTAATCAAATCAGGGATTATTAAAAGAAAAGAAAAGAAAAGAAAAGGTTAGTTACTCTAGGCAATTACTTCATTACTATCTGCCAACTAGGCAGATACAAATTGAAAAAAGTTTCTGTTTGTCCAAATTTTAATGGATCTCAAGGACTTGCTGTTCATTATGTTATAGGACTGAAATATGTATCAGGAATCTATATGTGAACAGAAATTAATGGAGCCTACAGGAGAATAAGTTAAACTGATTAGTGTCATCCCCCCCCCCGGTGTGCTGGTAGTACGGAAATATGTAAAGAGTAAATTATATATCCAATATTTAAAAAACACAAGGAAACACAAAAAGTATACAAACACAGAATTAACTTATTTTGTAATTACAAAGTAATTACAAGTCATTCAATATGCCAAAATACATGAAACAAACAATGGCTTCCATAAATATAATAGGCTTGCGATGACAAAAGCAATATAGCATTATCACCATCAATAAAATAGAATACAAAAATATTGTTGTAGAATCAATTAATGGATGTTTCAGTCAGTTAAAGTTGAAAGTAAGAGGATAGCAAAAAACAAACATTTCCATGCTTGAAAGAGAGATCTTGCATAGTACATAGGCTTTACTAAATGATCACAATCGAAAAAGTTACTTTAGATAAGTATTTTTTCTCAATAATCTGTTTGCCTGATGGAATTTCTTTTTCTTCAACCACAGGCACCATTGCCACATAACAAACTACTTTTATTTATTTTATAACTAGATTTCTAAGACCTTCCAACTCAGACATCTGGTTAGTTAAGTCCACTTATGTGTAAGTGTAATTAGTTCTACATTTCTTTTAATCCTGTTCTATAATTCTGCTTAGCCTTATAATCCTGGGTTAGTGTTATGAAAGATAAGAAGGCCATGTCTGCAGAATGATTTGGCATTCGATATGAACAAGCTCCCGAACAAAATCTAAATGCAGGGTTAAAACTGTTGAAATACTTCAATTTACAACTGAACATAATGTTGGTCAGCACCTACTGGAAATTAGTATGAATAATTAAATCCTACTTCTTTTGGAGTTAATAATATGCCCATATATTTCTTAAGAGTTCATAATGCTGGCAACCGGTCACAACATTTTAATTTAGCTTTTCTGTTCTAAATCTAATCTCATAATTGCAATCTCATTAACTCTTTTTTATATAAATGCCCAAATAAAGATTATAGTTATATTTTGACTTGATCTTGGTAAGCTTTGCACATTTTGATAACTTCCATTTTTTAGGTCAGTAAACAGTATAAACCAATCTCCTTCAGGAATGCACAAGAATTTCATGGAGTACTCAGATTAAAATGGAACAGTGCAACTGTTTTTGAAGGCATTTCTGTACTTCATTTTTTGAAAAATGTAGATAGTCCTTAACTTACTACAGTAACGGAGCCTGCACATTACTGTCTATAGTTGATGTCTAAATTAAGTAACTATGATAATAACAAGTTCCTCATCCTGCTCTATCCAATGCATTCGTTAAACATATACACAAGTCATTAATTAGAGCATGGGTTGACTCAGGGATGGGGAGAACATAGGAGGCCTGGTGGAGGTACTAACCCACCTGCATTGGGACTCCCAAGACCTCCCCACAGTCTGAGGTATCCCATGTTCTGCTTCCTGCCCCTTGCAACTGCATTCCCCACAGCCCTATGGGCCTCCTCCCTACCACACCTTACACAATTGTACACTTACCACTGAAAGATATCCAGAGGTCAGGAAATTGGAATAGAGATGTCCACTCTGTTGCTGGGGCCACATGGCACAACTGAGTAGAAGAAATCCTGCTGGTTTTGCTTTTCTTGCTATGCTTTGCTCCCCCTGTGCCAGCTAGCATTCCTGGCACTGGGTGAGCTGAAAGTAAATCTTGCCGGTTTTGCTTTCCTCACAATCCTTTATGCTGCTTTACACTAGCGCTGTTGACCCTGGGGTAAAAAATTATTGTGAGGAAGGCAAAAATGACAGGATTTATTCTCAGCTCACCCAGTGAGGAAAAGTAGCTTTATGTTTGCGCTGTGGGCCTTGGGGGAGCAAAGCATAGTGAGGAAAGAAAAAAATGGCAGGATGAGTCACAGTGGCACAGTGGTTATTATGAAGTACTGCAGGTTACTTCTGCTGACTGACAGCTGCCTGCAATTTGGCAGTTCCAATTTCACCAGGCTCAAAGTTGACTCAGCCTCCATCCTTCCGAGGTGGGTAAAATGAGGACTCAAATTGTTGGGGGCAATATGCTAACTCTGTAAACCACTTAGAGAGGGCTGTAAAGCACTGTAAAGTGGTATATAAGTCTAAGTGCTATTGCTATTTATTCTTGATTGTGCCATGTAGTC